GTCATGCCTTACATGAAAAGGGCTCATTTATTAACATATATAGCATATAGTTGTATAATAGTACAGGGCTTCAAATTTGAATTTTTCCTGAGTATCCATTGGGATACTAGCGACAAATCTGGTATCCACCCAGAAAGTCTAGTATCCCACATTTGCAAAACATCTTTTCGTTCACTAGTGATACCAATGAAAAGGATTTTTCCAAGCCATTTTAAATTTCAGTTGTGGACAAAACTTTTTCAGTATCTCGATCTCGGGATACTGAGCTGGTGATTTCCAGTATCCAAATTTAAAATCTGCTATCGCTGGGATATCGGGATACCACAAATTTGAAGCCCTGATAGCATATATTTTTGTTGTTGACATAAAGGGTAGAGATCATTGAACAAAATTATGTCTTAATGGAACATTTTATTACATTATTACCTAGAAAGCTAAAGATGTGAACAATTACTAGCAAAGTACATGTGAGAAAAAGAAATGCCTTGAAGGAGCAGGATTTTTTATTTACAGGCTCTGGGACAGCTAAATTGCAGAATACCCATCCACTTTGACATATTACACCTGTTATTTCCTTGTAAACATGGCAAAATGAGGAAAATATGCCAATTTCAAATGCTTCGTTCTTCAAAGACTTGCATTGTATTTAATAACAGCAAAATATTCTTGGAGTTTTGTCTTTGAATTTTAACTGTGAACTGTTTTGAAATAATAAGTTCTTTGAAACTAAGTTCTAATAAATAAGTTCTATAAGTTCTAAGTTCTTTGTTTTTTGTTTTGAAATAATTTTTTATTTCATTTATTTGTTTAATTAAACAAGCTATCAAAAGTGGACTGGTATTCTGCATTCTGCAATCCCTCCTCAGGGACAAAACAGACAGTGAGTGAGTTACTTATCAACATTATGCCTTTTAAGTTCTTTCCGCAGTGCTTTGCTCTTTGCTGCTTTTTGCTTAATTTTAAATTTGCTGATGTAATCTCTAGCATAGGAAAAACTGCGAACCTTTATATAAAGTTTAATAATGTTTTCATGACAAAGCTTGGTAGTTTGTTTCGGCAAGTCCTTGCATCCAAGCAAAATGTTTTCCCACAGTGACTTAAGCAATGGTGACTCCAATGCTTCATTACATAATGTATCACATGGAATAGTACTAACCACTGATGTTTGCTGGGCAATAAACTGTCTAAATACTATTTCCACAACCTCCAAGATTTGCACTAGATCACTACATGGTGTCACTAGTCCACCTCTACTTCGCGTGGCAATATATGTGTTCTCAACACTGGGACGTTTCATGCTCTGTAACATAACCTGGAGCTCTTCATTTGGTTTACTCGAGCACTGTTTTTGTAATTTCGCCAATACGTAGCCAGCAATATATGATAAGGGTCCACGTTCATGTTCGCTTAGTTCTGTTAGATGCTCTGTGCTTTCACTTGAAGTGCCAGACTTCTGCTTTCCACTGGTGGACTTGAACAAAGCTACTAGGTGATCAGATATGCTTATCATAACCAGGCTACAAAGTGGCTGGTTTTTGCCTTTCAGGAGGGCAGATGACTTGGGAATAAGCTCATAAAATTCGATGAGAAAATTATCTTGATTTCGTTTCTTACAAAATCGTTGATAAACTGGCGAGACAGCTTCGTAAAGGTTATCGTTCGAAGTTACTTTTACCAAATCCGAAGTTATTCCTGTGTCCCAATAACCCTCCTTTGTTATCTTTGCTTTTACTTTATTCATGATAGACGTAAGTTCATCTTTCTTAAGCGAAGGAATGTTTGCATTTGCTGTGGCTTTGCTGCCATGCTTTGCGTTTACATGCCTCGTTAGGCTAGCTTTCGATTTACAAATCTTTTCGCAATTTTCGCATGGAAACATTTTTTCGCCCACTATCTCCGTAGCAGCTTCAACAAAAACGTTTTCAACGGCCTCCTCGTCTTCGTCCATAACGGCCATGGTGATTTCAAAATGAAAAGGCGAGCTAGATTCTTCATCATCCCCTTCGTCAACAAATGGCAACTCATCGGGTACGCTCCTATTTCCTTCGATTTCTGCCTCTACACGCTCAGGGATAGATTCAATCGCCTCCAAACTTTTCTCCATCGTCTTACTCACATAAAACTATCCTAAAACGAAGATTTCGGCTACAGGATTAAGAAACGTTTCGATATATTTGAGAAAATCAGCAAAACTGTAATACGATCTTATATAAATCTTTGAAGCGTGTTCTCTTTCCTGTGCACGTGATATTTATTTCCTTTGTGCCTCGACATAAATGCCGCCCGCTGCGATTTTGCTCTGAAGTTTGCCGGCTCTCCTAACCATCTCAGTCTATTAACTGTGGTTTAAAATAGCTATGTTGTTGAGCTGTGTATAAAATTTCTTGCCTTTACGCGTTCTTTCCACGCTAAACCACTCTATAGAATATAGATCGAAGCTATATTCTTCGGCAAACAATTTTCGCGTTTTATCCCATAACTATATGTTGGAACATTGCTGTCATAATGCTTGTGATGTTACTCTGAGTGTATATCCACACCGGGCAAGCTTGAAAAATAAGCCTGACCACGGTGGGAATCGAACCTACGACCTTTGGAATACCAGCCCAATGCTCTGCCAACTCAGCTACGCGGTCAGGCCGGTTCGAGTATGCGATATTTCGGAACCGAGCCTAGTTCCTTCGATATCAATGCAATCTAATAATCATGATTTTTTCTGTGTTAGTGTAACGTACTCAGGTGAATATGATGCTTGTCATGTTACTCTGAGTGTATATATCCACACCGGGCAACCTTGAAAAATATGCCTGACCGCGGTGGGAATCGAACTTCGACCTTTGGAATACCAGCCCAATGCTCTGCCAGTTGAGCTACGCGGTCAGGTCGGTTCGAGTTCCAAAGGTCGTAGGTTCGATTCCCACCGTAGCCAGGCATATTTTTCAAGTTTGCCCGGTGTGGATATACACTCAGAGTAACATCACAAGCATCATATTCACCTGAGTACGTTACACAAACACAGAAAAAATCATTGCTATCATATTTAATCGATAATATTAACAAGTAGTGTATAATGATAGGTTCTGGACCCTTTTCGCAATTGCGCCCAGTTTGCCGCAAATTAGGCTTGCCCAGGCATGCCCAAAAGGGGAATTCCCCGTTCCCAATTTAATTCCTGGAATTTCGTTTTACTGGGAAAAAAATATGACGTCACTTCCGGTTTCCCAAAAGCCCCACAATCCCTCGCACCCCTCTCGGAACCATCAGCCTACCGAACCCTTTTCCCCCTCCCGCGCACCACCGCTGACAGTCAATTTCCAGGACCCTCCCCCCCCCTCATGCGCGAACTTCCGCCCCGCGCGCCTGCGACATGCTTCCCGAAGTCTTTCCAAAGTCTTTCCGGTCTTCCCAAGGTCTTCCCGAGGTCTTCCCGGAGTCTTCCCAAGGTCTTCCCGGAGTCTTCCCAAGGTCTTCCCAAAGTCTTCCCAAGGTCTTCCCGAGGTCTTCCCACCGGTGAACGGTTTAAAGATGAGGACTTTCCTATATAAAAATAAAAAAACATGGATTTTCTCAAACAATTGGAAAAGGAACATCGGTCGAACTTGGGTCTTTCCGGACGGGATGAAGATGTATGTATCTTTTCAGACAATCGGAAAAGGAGTACTTAGATTTGATGGGTATTAAAGGGGTTAACGAGCAGCCTAATGTTGAAGCGAGCGATCAGCAGTTGTGCTTTAAAAGACGTAAGCATCAATTTGTGAACCTTTCCGGAGTAATGACATGCGATTCGTGCGGACTGGAAACTAATCCCGTTTTTGTTCCTGGGTATAATTGTTGGGGCACAGCAATTCCAAGAAGTCAGGACAAAAGTAGGATTAGTTATAGGTATGAGAATTTTTGTCGCAGGAAGAATATAACAGATTTTGTTTTATCAGGAGGAGATAAATTTGAGATCATAAAAATATTGAGGAGGTTTATAATGCAGAGGAACCTAAGGGTAGTAAGCTTTCTAACCTTAACATCCTAACTTATCAAATATGTAAAAGACTCAACATAGAGATAGACGAGTCTTTACTTAAGATTCCTAAAGGTAAGATTCCCCACGATCGGTGTAAGAAAATATTTCAGACACTAGGATGGGAGTATATTGAGTAATTTTAATGTTCCGCTAAGCATTAAATTGAAATAATAGTTTTAAGGTAATGATGACGAGAAGAACTTCAACCGTTATCGGGATCAATAGGCAGCTGATCAGGCACAGCCACATCAGTTTCTGTGGTACTTTCATCATTTTGTTTATCATATTTTTTTACCATTGCGCTGACGTAACCGATTTGAGTATGTGCGCTCATCGTGATGTCTCCTCGTTCAATGCCAATACCCAGGCTAAACATTTTTCTTTTTCGGTGGTTCTTGTTGTACTTCGCCCCGTTTGTGATTTCGGGTTTTGTGGACAAGCATCCCATTTTTATTTAACCGGAAAATAAAATGCCATTCAACATGATTATTGCAGCGACAAAATATTTCGAAATTTGGTAACATTATATAATCCGAATAGGCAGGTTAGATTATTTTGGACGAATATCTTTTTGTTGACAGCGCGGAAATGAGATCTATTAAGGAAAAGCTGAAGGAAAAGAAATACGCTCATCTTGAGGTAAACCTGGTTCATCTGTTCAATCACGAGAAAAAGATTCCGATGTTATAATAAAAAGAGATGGAACCGGAATTACCGGAAAATACGGAGATTGAAGACTATAGGGCGGAGCTTATCCGCCTGTCCAACGCAGGGGAGATTACCCAGTCTGAAAAATATCTTAGGAAAGCGTCTGACAAAGTCATCATGAAAGTCCGGAAGGACTACATCGTTGCACAAAGGGAAAAGGCAAACATCCTGCTGGCGGAAGCCCTGATCGATAAATTTTCCGGTCTTATGGAAGCCATCAACATGGTGGACAGTGGGGAAGAGCTGAAGACGGAATTAAATCAGGACAAACTGTTCAGAAGTGATGTCAAAAGTGTGGTGGGAAAGCTGTCCCCATACATACCCTATCTGGGGATCGTTAGCGGTGGAGTGACGACCGTAAAGCATGTTTACCGAAGAACACCTGAACAACCACCACCACCTTCCGAAGAAGAACCAAACACCGACATTAACGACTAAGTACGGAAACAAAAAGAAATTTCCACACCCTTCTAGGTTTGGAATAACTGTGATCCCTAAATATTTTTGTATTATTTTAATACTGTACTCCGGTGAGTTGTCCGTTTTCAATTCCGATGACACCATCGGAAAGAACGAACATACGACGTTCGCAGTTATAGCTTTTTTCGTGATTTCCACCAGTATTCCAGACTGGGTGTTTTGAATTTTAGCACCGTTTCCGAATGTGCTGATACCGTTTCCGAATGTGCTGACACCGTTTCCGAATGTGCTGACACCGTTTACTCTTCTGAGATTGATGACCAGCGCGAATTTTTTGTCTTTGAAAAAGTTGGTTAGCGTTTGATGACTGATTTCACCGGTGGCAAACAATTGTCTTGCCTCTTCATACAGTCTTGTTTTCGGAATACCTTGACTGTAGACTGCGTTGGGCACACCTTCCACGGTTACCCTAACCTTTTCGATGTTAAGGTAAACGTATTCTTCACTGTCTGTCTTTGTCTTGTTCGTAAACAACATGACGATGGCTTTCATGCTTCTGCGTGGCACGTTCATCGTTTCGTTGATAATGGTGGAGTCCTTACTCCATTCCGTCTTTTTCATCAGGATGGCGTGTTCGAAAGACAGCTTACGTCCGACGTTGTACTGACTTTCCACTTTTCTTGCCAATCCGATGTTGTCGATTGATTCGTACTCCAACTCAATGTTTTCCAGGGTATACCCTTCCACACTTTCCCCACCCTGTGCGTTCATGATTTCATCTGCCGCTGGTATGGTTATGATATACTGTAGATCGTTTGCCATATTGTGTGGAGCGTAGAGTCCGTGATCTTTTAGGATTTTACCGTTTCGGATTCTTTGTTTCGTTCCGAATACTCCGAACAATGCGGCGGCATCCGCATCGTCGTTTGCAGCATCATCTTTGGATACTTTCTTCCTCGTGGCTTCGCTAGCAATACCATCCTCCACCATGTCGTCACGCTGTTTCCTGTATAACCATAGGTCCTTATAGACCTCCAGCAAACTTTCTCCACTGTTATCATAGACTTTTTCTCCTGCGAGACGAATTTCCAATCTCCTTTGGAGTAGTTTTCCTAAGCTGTTTCTGAACCAGGATTTTGTGTTACTGTTCTTAAAGTCAAAAACCAAATCTATGCTGTCCGGTACGAGAACGGAGTCGGTTTTTAGCTTTGGAATATTAACGTAAATTTCTTCTCCAGGTTTGGCAGAGTTTGGGTTGAAGGTTAGGACGTGTCGGCACCTATCTCCGGTGATTTCTGCCTTGTTCATACGTCGGAAATCAGGCATAAGTTCAACCGTTCGGTTCATTATGTTTTATTATAGGACGAAAAGGTATTTATATTTTACGTCTATTCTGCAAATACCTGAATATAGCTCCGGCAATCACGATCGCCACAATCCACAAATTCCGGGCGAGGAAGGCAAGACCCTTGGCTCCCCAACTTAGGACCGTACTTAACATATTTAGAATAGGTACCAGGATTGGCAGTGCAGCTTTTGCGAACTTTGCCAACGCTTTTCCGGCAGCTCCAAGTCCATTAGCTGCTCCCGTGATTGTCTTCTTTCCAGCCACCACCACAGTCGTAGTAATTCCGGCAATGGAGGCGGCAATGGCGGCTAACGGTCCCATGTTTTGTTTTGCCCACACGCGGAATCTCTCGAATTTGGTTCGGATGTTGTCCCTTACTATTTCCCTGTACCTGTGTTTTCCCTCTTCCGAACTAGGCACCTGCCCCATTTCCAGCCTTGCATCATCGATGGCCTGTCCTGCAACGTCCACCGCCCTCTGTGTGATCTGTCGTCTATCGTCGTCGGTTTCTTTTTTGAGATTACTTTTCCATTCCTCCATTATAATGTCTTTGTGTTTAATCCTTCCCTTCGACGGTCCTTTAGGGGCAGTTATTCCTGCAAATTCCCTCCTTTCCTGTTCAGTTATTTTTCCTTCACTTTCCAATCTTTCCGCTTGTTCCGCAAGGTTATCGCTTGCGTTGACGACGTCCTGGTGGAATTCCTCCTCGGCGTCTTCGTAGATTTCCTCCGCGTTCTCATTTAGCATGCTTCCTCCGGTCTCCTCTTCCACCACACTTCGGACTTTCTTCTTGTGTTGGATGAGTGCTTTTTCATATAGCTTTCTGAATTGTGTCATGGACCCGGCAGATTTATTATTTTAGGACATTTTAAACGCACCACTCGTATCGATGTATCCGATAACGGTTCCGTCGAATGTTAACTTATGTTTAGTGACATCCAAACGAGAGATAAATTCCCTGGAATTTTGTCCGTCAGTCGGATCTATTCGGTATTCGCTTCTCAACAATCTTCCGGCAAACTCTCCCTTTATGTCATTAAATTTTCCGATTACGTACAGTCTATTTATTTGCTCTTTCCTTCTTCTGTATGTGTCGTCTTTGTTCTCGTCACGGAAGCTGGAGGTTTTTGCTTCATATAGTTCGTCAACAGTTTGGTTGAGGTGATCGATGAAATCGTCTCCACCCTGACATGATCACCGACTTTGAACTTAGGTTTTGGAAAACTGTCCAGTGGATATCCATAAACCCTTGTCCAAACTTCATCCTTGTTCTCCTCGTTCACATCCATCGGTTTCATCCCGATCGTCCTGTGCGTGGAATTATTATAGGATTTGACGAGGGCAGGTACAACGTCCACCCAAACTTTCGTCCTGTTTTACGTAAAATATTTCCACATTCTTGTTTGCAGAGTCCTATTAAATCTCTCGACGAGTGCAGCTTTCCGGAAGGTTCTCGTGGAAAAGTAATGGACATCGTGATCCTTTAACAAAGTCTTTACTCCTACATTGTAGAATTCCTTTCCGTCGTCGAATTGTGCTGCTTTTGGATATCTGTCAAACCTTTCCTTAAATTGTGCAAGTACCTTTTCAACGGCCTACGTCATACTTTCGGTATTTTTTCGCCAGACGGCAAAAGCATACCGACTCAAAACTTCTATGACAGTCAAAATCCAACGATTTCCCTTATTCTTGTAGCTGAACTTGCTCATATCCACAAGGTCCATTTGGATTTGTTGCGCCAGTCCGTCCACATATGTCCTTTGGGTTTTGTAATGCTTCCTGGATGGTTTGTGAATGATGTACGTGTTCTGCGTTTGCAACCATTCTCTGACGTTTTTCCTGCTTGCACCCGGTACACCTTCTTCCTTTGCCTTTTGGTATAGTTTTTCCATCGACATGTACCCACCGTTTACGTTAAAATATATTTCTCGAAGAGCTAAATCCAATTGGAAACTCATTTTAATATCGGTAAATAAAACATGAAGAAGATAACGACTTACATCAAGGATGGAGGGGTTGGTGGCCGGACATTTTGCCGAAAGACACTTTGCCGAAAGACAGTTTGCCGAAAGACATTTTGCCGAACGGACACTTTGCCGACGGACGTTTTGCCTAACGGACGTTTTGCCGAACAGACATTTTGCCGAACGGACAGTTTGCCGAACGGACGGTTTGGCGAACGGGCAACTTGCCGAAAATAGATATATCTTCTGAACTTTAACGGTTCGTTTATACGGTCAAAGTTTCTGTGATTAATTAAATTAAAGTCATTGTCGATAGTGAAGTATAGTTTCGTTTTATATTCTTTCAATTAAGTTTACCGAAATTTAATGATATATAAAAGAATAACATCATTCAAAATCATTCATACTGTGCTGTACTATTCATGAATGCGATTTCCCCGAGAACTGTGAATGTATTCCATGATTCTCGAAGTGAAATTCGCTTACGTCGTTCAGTGTCTTTATACACACCAAAGTATTGTTTGTTTACGACCTGACGTCAAAACACGTTCCTAGCAAATGAATCATCCGTTGCACAAACAAGCTACCAATAGTCAATATAGTTACGCACCGCTAACGACCATTATATGCGCTGCTAATGACCATTATGCAATCCTAATGACCATATAATGGTTATTTTACTCAATGGTTGATAATTACACTGTTGAGAAACGAGTCACAGTCCCAAACATTTTGACGAAATAACATCTCTATTTTCGGCAAGTTGTCTTTTCGGCAAACTGTCCGATAGGCAAAATAACCGTTCGGCAAAATGTCCGTTCGACAAAACGTCCGTTCGGCAAAACGTCCGTCGGCAAAGTGTCCGTTCGGCAAAATGTCTTTCGGCAAAATGTCTTTCGGCAAAGTGTCTTTCGGCAAAATGTCCGGGTACCGGAGGGGTTACCCTAAATCTTCGGGATCCTTCGGTCCTTACTCACGAATCCGAACTTTTCGTAAAAACTGCCGCTGTGTTTTGGAATTACAAAAACGTTCGCGCGGGTTACAACGACTACATTTCCATAGATGGAAAGGAAGTTACGATGGACTTCATCCATGGATGTTTAAACAGCTTCGGAAAAAGATGGAGGAGAACGGACTGACGTTCAAGGAATATCCAGATGGAAGGATAAAGATTGACCTCAATAGCGGGACAAAAACGGTGGGACTTCGGAATCTCACGGTGATTTTGGGATACCGATCCTCCAACGGTCCTACATACACCTACACATCAGCGACCGTTCCGTAGATATTCACGATGGTCTGCGGTACATCATGGTCAGCTGTGATCTCGTGAACCGTGAGCACAACATCGGACCAGACGGAAGTCCATCATCACCTCCCTTCCGATCGACGGAACCAAGCCTCTTTTCGGAACCACGACCAAGTACAATGACATCAAAAATCAGGTACGTGTGGATGCCGGAAGGTACAACGAAATCCGGTTTAAAATCGGATCCAACACCGGAGTTGTTAGGGAGATGTACTGAGGTGAATATAATATTCAAAATATAAAAAAACACACAAAAAATATCAAGAAAAGTATAATTGTGTAAGTTTAAAATGATTATTGCTGAACTCCATATATATATTTTAAACAATATTTTTTAGAAACACATATCAATTGATTATCAAGTTACACTATTTTTACTTTTGTGTTTTGTTTTGGCTTTCACAGCAACCTTGAAACTGTATTTTTAAACAACGATTTAATTTCTGTATATATTCTGTTTAGAACTATTGTTTTTCGTAATTATACTTATGAATTTAACATGCTGACTCTATAGGGTAATGTCAAATATATACAGCATGGATCGTGCTAACTAGTGTTATGTCAACTTTCAGATTATGATGAATGGCCATGAATGCGCTCAGAATATGTACTCATGCGACCCAAACGCTGATTGTATTAACACTGTTGGTTCATACTCCTGTCAATGTCGAAATGGTTATACTGGCGATGGTCGCGTATGTACAGGTAATTTCAGGCGCATTTCAGATATACTTAATATTTCGATACTCCAATTATGTCACAGCTGGTATATATTTCTGATATATTTCGATACGCCAAGTATGTCATAGCTGGTATATGTTATGTTTTACCAAGTCCTCTTTTAGACATCAACGAATGTTCCACCCAAACTAATACGTGCGACCAATAAAAAATTAATACACTGAAATTATATATATGCTGTCTTTTTTCATTATACGCAAAGATCAGTTTTTATAAAGCAAACAATTATAAAGCAAACAATACATCATTATTTAAAACAAACCTACCTTCATTAACGTCGGCGTCTTTGCTCCCTTCTTTTAGAAATCTTTCAGTTTTTTTTGAAATTTACAAAATCTTGCAAAAATGAAATCTATTTGCAAGAAATGTTTGTTATTTCGCTGTCGCCATGCAGTCGTTATAATGCAAATTTTAAATTCGACCAATCAATGTTCGCTATTCACGACAGTCCGCTATATTTTGAGATCAGTGAGGATGACCACCCACGCACGGTGAACCATAGCCATGCGCCCGCGATTATTGATGAACTTTAGACTTCGTTAATGCTTTCCTTTACTCGGGTGTAAATAGCCGGAACCCTGGTTTGGGGGATGAATTTAACAAACTTCAGCGTTTTGCTGACTATATATAGGGTAATGTCAAATATATGCAGCATGGACAGTACGTACTAACTAGTGTTATCAACGACTTTTAGATTATGATGAATGCGCTCAGAATACGCACTCATGCGACCCAAACGCTGATTGTATTAACACTTTTAGTTCATACTCCTGTCAATGTCGAAATGGTTATAGTGGCGATGGTCGCGTATGTGCAGGTAATTTCAGGCGCATTTCAGATATATTTCGATATGCCAATTATGTCATATGTGTTATTTTACCAAATCCTCTTTTAGACATCAACGAATGTTCCACCCAAACTTACACATGCGACCAAAATGCAGATTGCGTTAACACTGTCGGTTCTTACACATGTCAATGTCGCAGTCGTTTTACTGGGGATGGTCAAGTCTGTACAGGTAATTTAGCTATAAAACCAAAGCTTCTTGATAACGTGATATGGCAAAATATAGGTGCTAGTGTGAAGAATGTGATATCTATTTTTATTATATAGCAAGCATTTATTTTGGTGAATCGCGCAAATTAAACTCAACTTTCTGAATAAGTTTTTGCTGGCGTAAGATGAAAATAAACGTAAATTTTACAATGTTTTTAACTATTAAAGCAGTCAAGAATATTTTTAACATGTGAAGTCGAAGAGCTGCAAATTCTATTCGCAGATAGCCAAGGGGAATTTTACACCATCTGAAACAAAAATACAATTACTACTGAGCAGCCACAGATTTATAGAGTTTCAGTAATTAAAAAAAGAGACACGAATATGATTAATAAAGCGAACAGATTAAAACATACTTGTCGGTGCTGTCTATTTAAAATTATTTGTTGCACGGTCATATTCGTCCAAAGCTTGTGTGAGCGTATAGACGTCCAAGGCTTGTGAGAACGTATAGACGCCGGTGAACCACCTATTCAAGCATAGATATTGCCATGTACCAGGGGTAATTTGCATGATGAATACTTGTTGATACGTTTATGTCATTTCAAGTTTAAATTAATGTTCCTTTTAACGTAGCTCAAGCTACAATCTTGGACAAAACCCTTGAGACCATTCCAGCCAATTTTACAAAGTTATTGAATATTGACAAAACAAACATTGTCTCCCCCCCCCCCCCCCAGTTCAATGTTGTGACGAAAACCGAAACCGAAACGCCGAAACAACTTTTGATAATATACCATGACACAAGCTCAACATTAAGTTGGGGA